CATCGGGATCGTTTCTAATACCCATCATTTCTGCTCGTCATTTGTAGATATTCCTCTTTAAACGTTAAATGCGACAAAGAAATGTACTAAACACTGTATACGTATTGAAGGAAACTTAGCTCAAAAATCTGATAATCTCAAATGGGCCCGTAGAAGACAATCACGTGACAGTAGACGCAGTGTTTTGACGATTGAAATCTTCCTTTCATCAGCATAAAATTATGTCAATATACGCGGATCCTATCATCAGCATAAAATTATGTCAATATACGCGGATCCTAGTAAAGCTCAATCTTAAGATACTGTTGTGTATTTTCATACGTTTTATTTCAAAAAAAAAGTTTCCACAACTTCTTAGACAATTATAGTTGTATAAAGAATAGAAAAGGTCAGAATTGTTTTTTTTTGGGGGGGGGCGCGGATAGAGGTACTGGATTCTAGGCTTAAGGAGCTATATAATTCTATTTCGATTGAAAAGTAAATCCATATAGTCACTCTGAAAACAAGATAATTATTAGCTTAATCGGTTTGGCTCTAGCCTATTGTCAGGGTAAGTCAAATTAGATTCCCTCTAGGCCTAATTTATAATTCTCAAATTCTCTAAATAATACAATTAGCGGCTTCTCTTCTATTTTATTATTCTTCAATGCTTAGGGCTGATTAAATTAGAACTTGCAGGGATTAAAATTGGTTCACAACTATGTAGAAGTTCATATTTTTTAACAAAGTAACTCGAGGGAACTAAAAACAATCCTATACCAACACCACTTCTTCGGCGAAGTTAAGATTGTTGGCTTAAAGGAAATAAAATATAATATACATTAGCATTTACATTGCAACGCCAGAAACCGGGTTTCGATACCCTTGGCTGGCAGAGCACCGACGGCCAATTGTGTAGCTTTGTGCTTAACTTCAAAACAACAACAGCTTTTAAATGGTTTTAAACAGATATCACATGTTATAGAGGGCGCTCGATAAAGCTAAAGGAAACATTTTACAAAAACAAACATTTATGTTAAGTTTGTGTATTTTTTAAATTACACTTCCTTAATTTTTTTCTTTTACCGTACATCTTTTTTCTACACCCAATATCTCTATGTTTTTTTTCATATGTTCATTTATATATATGATGATCTTTTCAAGTGTTCATTAAACCTTGTTTATACATTTTTACTAATTTCACTTATATGTAGATTTGTGTATTCACAATTTTCACAGTTACTTTAATAGATAGATACACTTGTTTGGTGCCTTATAATTAAAGACGCTTGGAGTACACAGTTATTTCAGGTAATAATTCAGCTAGTCGACTTAAGACTAGACTTTCCTTAAAAAAAAACAAACCGAGTTCGATTCTATATAACTTATAAATTGAAAATTTTAAAAATATAACCTATACACATCAGCTTTTCCGAAGCACTAAATTTTTCATGGAACTTTATTTTGAGGTAACAAGCCTATTTTGATATCGTCAACGAACACGTGTTATTATTTTCTTCTGAGAGCTTGTAATAAATACCAGAAAATGTATTTCTATGCTTTAACGTTTATCAAAGACAAAGAAAAGGGTTCAGAGGTTATAAAGTGAACGAGACCGGAAGGTTTTACGTACATTGAATTCGCTTTATTTCGTTCTACAGCATGAATTCTAAACGATATTTGATTAATCAATGCTGTATCTTAGTTTTACAGGACAACTTTCATCAAGGTAACATACTCTAACAATACCGTAACAACGAAAATCGAAATAAATGAACGTTGACACATATTTTTTAACAAAATACATGTTATTACGATCTCGTGTATTGCGGCTAGTTGCCGTCAGAGAGAAAGTTCCCAATAGAGTACACTTGTTAAGTAAAAATAGAAGTTTTCAATTAATCGTTTAGAACATGGGAGATGGCAAAAAATCTATTCACAAACAATCTTCAAAATAGAAATATTTTATGATCACATATAATAGAGAGCGCACGATATTTTTTCTTCCAAATTCCTACTGAAGATAGCATCTAATTTTTTTTTCAAATTGTGCAGCAAATGTTTGTTGCAAAATAATAAAAAAAAAAAAGTGCATGCAAAATTAATGCTGTCTTAAAAAGGGGACACAAAACACATACCAGATCATGCGTGCGCGCGCGTGGAAATCTGTCCCTTATAACCTCACCAGTAATCGACAATCTTTCCTATTGGTTAAACTTCAAATTATCAATCGACAATCTTTCCTATTGGTTAAACTTCAAATTATCAATCGACAATATTTCCTATTGGTTAAACTTCAAATTATCAATCGACAATCTTTCCTATTGGTTAAACTTCAAATTATCAATCGACAATCTTTCCTATTGGTTAAACTTCAAATTATCAATCGATGAGCTTTCCTATTGGTAAACTTTCAAATTATTGACTTGTTAATATTTCACTCAGAACCAGCTTATCTACGTATTGCGTGATATTGAATAAGTCTGTGATTCAGCTTGTTACAACATTCTATGTAAACACTTGACCAAAATAATTGAATGAAATCACATTTTTATGTAAAAAATACTGGGAACCTCAACAGTAATTAGTGGAATAAATCACGCTGTTGACGGTACTTACACTCGTGTTTAATTCTTTTGTGTATGATTAATACATATATATTATTGTTATTATTATTAGTAGTAGGGACCCTATTTTATTGTTATTATTATTATTAGTAGGGACCCTATTTTATTGTTATTATTATTATGGACCCTATATTATTGTTATTATTATTATTACGGACCCTGTAACAACATTGATGGACAATAAGCAATTTAATGCATATATAGTGTTGAAAAATGTGTTTTAAAAACTGATAGTCACTGGTAATTCTCCAGTTAAAACTATAGCAAACAATGTAGCTTCTGTTTATTGTTATTTTGATGACTACTTTATTCGGGAAGAAGAAAAGACTCTAGTCATACTTAGCGTAATTATTTTCAAATAATGTTTAGTTTTATTATGTACAGGGTTGCCCAAAATGATCTCCCGTGTTTTGAAACTTAATAATCAAATAATTGAAAAACTACAATCGTGCAGTCTTCAAACTGTTTTTATTGTCATGTTTTTTGTTGTTTTGCCCCATAAAATGGCAACGGTGCAAAAATAAAAGGCTCAATGCAATGGACTGGTCGGGTTAGGCCAATTCCGTGACCTCCACTAGATTTTTTTCTTTGGGGGTATGTTAAGGACATCGTGTATCCACATCTATGGCAAACATCACCAAGCTAAAGACCAGGATAATTGTTTGTTTGTTTTTGAATTTCGCGCAAAGCTACACAAGGGCTAACTGC